TGGGGACAGGGAGTAGAGTGGAGGGGAATGAAGGGGGAATAGAACAACTGTAATGGCATAATCAATAAATAAAAACAAACAAAAAACAAAAACAAAAAAACATTGAATATTTAAAGCATTTATTGGTTTTGAGATTTTATTTTTTTAAAGATTTATTTTATTTTATTTTTAGAGCGAGGGGGAGAGAAGGAGAAAGAGAGGAAAAAAACCATTAATGTGTGGTTTCCTCTCTCACACCACCTACCTACAGGGGACCTGGCCTGCAACCCAGGCATGTGCCCTGACTGGGAATTGAACTGGCGACCCTTTGGTTCACAGGCCTGCTCTCAATCCATTGAGCTACACCATCAAGGGCTGCTTTCCAGTTTGGATGAGGCAGATATTCTCAAACACTGCTGGTAGATAGGTAAATTGGCTCATTGTTTTTCATGGACAGTTTGGCAGTATGTATTGAGAACTGTAAAAACTTTACAGTTTTTGATTCAATTATTTTGCTTTTCAGATTTTATCTCAAGGAAGTATTCTAAAATGCTGTGAAAATTTTTGTTCCAAGATACTGTTTCTATTTAAAATATGGAAAAATCTAAATGGCTGACATCAGAATGGTTAAATAAAGTGTGTGCTACATCCACTGTTTAGAATAGTATATAGCCAATAAGAATGAGGCTTATAAAAGTTTTCAGAAACTTAGGAAAGGGAAAACTTAGGAAACAAATTTCAGAACAGTCTCAGTCATGTTTCAAAATTCATAGAAGAAAGTTTGAAGGAAATATACTAGCAAGTTTGTAACTGGGTACAGAATAAGGGTCCCCAAAAATAGCAGAGCATATTCCCCAGAAACAACTATTGGGGGAAGGGGAAGTGAATGATATGGCATTTAAGATACTTTGCATAACAATGGCAAGTTAATTGTGTTACTGTCCAGGGCAGAGGTGTATGTGACTTCAAGAGCGTCTAGTGACCTGTGATATAGCCAGGGGAAGCGGATGCCACTGTGTCACAGGGAACTCTTGCTGTGACTAAAAATGGCAACTGAAAGAAGGTAAAAGATACAGGGGAACTGGCAAAAAGTAGCACATCATAGGAGGGCCCAAATATGAGGTCACGTAGGAAGTTCCAGGCCAAGCATTTGAAATAAGAGCAGTCTGAAAGAGAAGGGGATTCTGCCATGAGGTCTGAAAGAGCGGAGGAAGAATCCATACAGGAGGAAAGAGTATAAGGAAAAGGCTGATGGAGCTCTGTGGGGACCTGCCTAAACAAACATGGATTCGTGGGAGATGCTTGGAGCTGAACCGAACTGTGATGGGGAATGCTGAATTGCAGACTTCTGCTTCTCTAAAGGACTTAAGGAGAAGCCACTCTCTTGGGGGCATGTGCCTCCCCGGACTCCACTATGACCCAGTGTAACATGGCACATGTTTCCCTGAACCAGTACACGGTGGCTGAGAACAGTGTACCCAAATCTGGAAGGAGAGAGCTACTTCAAGAGATGGTGACTCTGAAACCCGTCAGTGCTCATTTCAGAGGGGATGGAGATCTGTTTGCACAGCTGGCGTAACAGATAAGGATGTGGGGAACTTCTGGGCATGATTTTGGCTTATAGCCATTTGGGGAGGGTGGGAGGTGCTGGATCTCGTGAGAGAACAGGGCTCTTAGTAGGAGTGCTCTCAGCCTCCCTGAGGTTGGAATCCTATAAATAAAAACTAATTTCCTTCAACACTGGTTGTTGCATCAGGAAACTAATTTCATGATACAACACTCATGTATCAGGGTGCCCCGTGGCTGAGCCCTGGTTTGCTTGGTTACACATTGACAGTATTTCTTGAGTAAATCTTTTTCCTTTTATTTTTCTGTGCTTTTTTGGCTTTACACATCACATATATGCTGTAGAGGAGGAGGCAGGAGAAAAGAAAACTTGAAAAATAAATGACCTTTTTATGTAATATAGGTTCATTTTGCAAGTCAGATCTGATAATAAAAATTTTGATGTTTGTTTAGTTAATATTATTTAATTTTATATCATTTTAGTTCATTTTACCTCATAACTCAGTAGATCATTTATATTTTCAAACAGAGTTCTACTTATTTTTCATATAGTGTTTCTGGTTGGACCTAAATGTGGTATCAACAATTAAAATTAAGGATGCTTGACGCCCCCCCCCCCACCCCGCTGTTCCCTTCTTCCTGTGTTGAAAGGGAAGTGCTTTACCAATCTAAAAATCATTGTTTCATTTTATTTTGATCCCTACTGGGTAATCTATGGAAAATTACTCAAGATTTTGATTTATAGTTTGCATTTCAAGTTTTTATAAAAAATGGGGATCATATTATTAATGTTGATATTCTACATACTTCACAAAAGTTTAAGCTTGACATGTTTTTTCTTTGAGCATCTTGAATTATATGTTCACTGATCAGATTTTTTAAAAGAATATAATTTAGAAAGTTTACTAGCATCAATGACACATAATATAGTATTTATATCATTTTAAGTTGTGTAGTGATGTCTGTGTTTTGTAGTTTGTGTATTTTTCACCTAATTTGAAACATCTAGTCTACAGACTTTGATTTCTTTTAATTCTAAATTTCGGAAGGTTTTTTGTTGGTTTTTTTGTTTTGTTTTGTTTTTACTCAGAATGAATAGTTCTCCACTAATCCATCAGAGTATCTAGTGAAGTTTTTTTTTTGTACCAGAGAAGAAAAATGTAGAGAGAAACTTTCAAGAACATAGTGAAACTGTATAGTGTCAAAAGAGAATTAATAAAAAGGGTATTTTTTATGTTTCTATTTCATACACATTGCTCAAGGCTCTTTTTAAAGTTAAGATGAGTATTCTAAGGGGTACATAGGGTGTATGTATGTTTTTTTGTGTGTTAAATATCCATGTTTTTGTTTATTTGAATTAAGAAATTAAAATCAAAACATACTTACAGAGGGGACAGAATCTTATCATGAACAACATGAAGATAACTTATGGACTGTTGATTTGTACAGCTTGGATGAGAAGGAGTGTTAAAATAGTGTCTATCTGAAAATTTTAGAACTCTGTTTTATAGTACTGTTATGTAGTAGAATGTTGGCAAGTCATTTAATTGAGCAGGTATATGCCATGTGAGATTTACAGATATTCGTATAAAAACCAAATCTCAAAGGTGGTGTGTGCAGATAATTCAGAAAAGGGATATTAAGTCTATTCTGAAAATGTTTGGTATCAGATTTTAGATCTCATTAGGGCTGAAGTGAATTTAAAAACATGCCAAGCTTTCTACTTTAGTGTAGTTTTTGAGCTTCAGTAGAATCTAAACCCTACCTTATAAATTCTTTTAAAATTTTTAACATAGTGTATATGACAGAAATAATCATTTGTTGAAATGTGTGTTATTCCTTTTTTACCTAAATCAGTGAAAAAAAGTTGGGCAAGGACATTTTTAAGCAAAACCATTTGTATATTGTAGCATTCCTTGGACCACCTTCTTTAGAAGTTCTTACTTTAAAATTAGTGCCCAAATAATTAGACACAACTATAAGTGTATTACATAATCAAATGCTACACGAAAACAGGAAAATTGCCAGAATACTAACTATTCTGTTACTTGTACTCATTAATTATTCAATATAAAGTGCTGGGAAAATTGGATACCTACTAGGTTAAAAAGAAGATATCTGCCTGTTCAGTACTTAGAACTTCCAGATGGAAATAAAATTGTGGTATGAAACATTAAAAAATACCTAAATACTTATGGAATATTAGAATGACTCCTATTTCAAGCGTAGTACCAAAAGCAGAAGTCATAAATAAAAGATTGATTTAATTATATAAAAATCTATGGGGGGAATAAAATTTAAAAGCACACTATAAAACAAAAATTTGAAGTATGTATGAGACAGATGACTAATACTCTCAATGTATGTGTTCTTATAAGCAAATAAGAAAAAGGTCATGGAAAAAAGTTTATAAAAAATACAAATAGCCCACAATGTATGAATGACTCAGTTGTATTAGTTAAAGAAAGATAAAATAATGAGATAATATTTACACTCATGAAATTGACAAGTATTTCTTAACAAATCAATACTCAGAATGTGGCACAGATATTGTAGGTAGATCGAACACATACAGAATACATTCAAATGGTATCTATTCTTTGAAGCAGGGTTTCTATTTTTAGGAATTTATCTGTAGGAAATAACTGGGAATGTAGACAAAGGTTTAGTTTCAACAAAGTTCATTACTGGGTCATTTATAATGGCAAATTATTGCAAGCAATATAATCTTTCAGTAATTAAGGTGGTGAGATTTCAATTATTTTATTATCTTTATGTAAAATACATTATTTCAAAATAAGCTGGGAATGATTTTAAAAACCCTCAGTTAAGTCATATAAAATACTACTAAATATTGACTTATTTACTCTGTGCTTCAAAATTCCCCACCGATAAATTGTGGATAATAATAGTATGTAATCATAGGGCATTGGGACAACTGAGTGAATGAATATATGAAAAGAACTTAAATAGTTCCTGACATGATGACTGTAGTGAATAATACTGGACAGTATATTTGAAAGTTGCTAATGTCTTAAAACTTTTCATCACAAGGAAAGAAAAAAAGTGTAATTGTGTGAGGCAATGGATGTTTACTAAACATTGTGGTAATCATTTCATAATATTCACATATATCACATAATTATGTTGTATACCTTAAACTTACACAATGTTTTGTCATAGTTTACTTCGTATACATTATACGTGTATGTGTATGTGTATATACATATATACACACACAGATACGTGTATAAAAGATAAGTGGCTAATTTGGAAGAAGAAAATTACCTTATTTTAAGAAATTGGCCTGGATTAAAAATAAATGAAGTGACCAAAGAATTACATTGTTAAAAACAATGTAATTGTAATTTTTTCTGGAGTTATTGTCCCTGGTATAGGTGATCTAAAACTAATTATGATATTAAACTGAATTTCCTTTTGTTTGTTTTGGACAGGTTGGCTCAAAGTTAATCTCTTGTCACAAATTGGTATTGGCTTGTGTTATTCCCTACTTTAGAGCCATGTTTCTCTCGGAAATGGCTGAAGCCAAGCAAACAGTGATCGAGATTAGAGATTTTGATGGTGATGCAATAGAAGACCTGGTAAAGTTTGTCTATTCTTCACGGCTCACTTTGACTGTGGACAACGTCCAGCCTCTCTTATATGCAGCCTGTATTCTACAGGTTGAACTGGTGGCTAGAGCTTGTTGTGAATACATGAAGTTACATTTTCATCCTTCCAACTGCTTGGCAGTAAGAGCCTTTGCAGAAAGTCACAACCGAATAGACTTAATGGACATGGCGGATCAGTATGCGTGTGAACATTTTACTGAAGTAGTGGAGTGTGAAGACTTTGCAAGTGTGTCACCCCAGCATCTCCATAAGCTTTTGTCCTCCAGTGATCTAAATATTGAGAATGAAAAACAGGTCTATAATGCAGCCATCAAGTGGCTTCTTGCCAATCCTCAGCATCATTCCAAGTGGTTGGATGAAACACTTGCACAGGTAGGGACTGAAATGAGATTGTGTGTAGAAGAAGTAAACAATACAGAAGCAAATCAGCATGTTTCATTTGTCATGAAAGGTGTAAACTATCCATTGATATAATACAATGTGAAAATGGCTTTGACTCTTACTCTCCTATTTACTCACTGTATTATTTAAGGATGAATCTGAATTTGCTATATTTGAATTAGAAATACCATTCTCTTCTCTTTAAACTAAAATTTAAAATATCCCTTTGAGATAGTAGTAATGAATACTTTAGGCTATTAGAAAATGGTTTTGAGGAGACTGCTCAAAATTAATTCATTGCTATTGTTTTCAATGAAGTTTCTACTAAATTACTTTGCTAATGAAAATACACTTATTCCTAATGTATATAAATTTGATATGGAAAGAATTACAAGATACCACTTCCCATTTTCTTCCCTTACCAAATTTTACTTTTGAATCTCAGAAACGTGTCTCTATTTTAATCATTTGTGTTTACTGTCAACAGATGTTACTTGGATAGTAACGAGGCCTTAGAATTACTTTGAAAACAAATCTGTCAACAAAAACAAAAAATTTTACTGTCTTGCAGCTATATCTTCTTATTGTGTGTGTGCATGCTTTTAACTCAAAATAGTTTTATAATCTCTTTAATCCACTAGAAAATCAATGCTTCTTTAAGAGAGGAATGGTAAGTACATCTACTAAATGAGGGGATGCATCCTTGAGTTAGTCTACACCATATTTTGCCATGTATAATGTGCACCCACTTTTTTGGCCCAAACTTCCAGGAAAAAAACCTTAACTTTTAAATTCAATTATTTATTTATTTGTTTGTTTGTTTGTTTGTATTTTACTTGTTTTTTTATTATAAAGGAATTTTAGCATTTATTTTTGAACATATTATGGTACAAGAAATTTTATATACCAAATAATTACAAAACACAAGAATAGACACAAGGTACAAGAAATTTTATGTACCAATAACAAATTTACAATATTTATGCATCATAGAAGACCAAGAACGCATCAGTGTCAATATTAAAGGGATCATCTTCTTCAGTTTCTACATTACCAGTGTCTTCTGAAGAGTTACTGTCTTCATCCTGGTACATTTCATCATCCTCAGACATTGCTGATGATACATTTTTTAAACAATTTCACAACCACTGCCTTCTTGACACCTTCCACAGTCTCAGGATCCAGTCACAAATCTGGGCAATGGATGCTTTCTGGATCCTGCCTGTAGGTGTTAAATCATTACCAGCTGACTGCATCTATGATGTCCATTCTTTCTTAAAGGGGGCTTGTTTACTGACATATCAAGAGGTTGCAATTGGCTTGTTAGCCCACCAGGTATCACAGCAAGTTGGGTTTTCAAGTCCACTGTGACTGCTTTTGCACTTTGTGTAATGTGGGCTTTGAAGTGACCAAAAACAAGCAAAGCTGTTTTCTTTAGTAATCTTCCAAGCCTTAGTGACCAGACTTTGTTAAACCATTGTTTCATGCCTCCTTCATTCATCCTTCCCTTTTCATGCATGTGGACAATAACTCCACTCAGAATCTTTTCTTTTAAAGATGATCACAGGTGGTAGCTTTGTCCCATCTGCACAACAGGCTAGAACAACAGTCAACTGTGTTTTCTCACAACCACTAGTTTTAACAGCCACAGTCTTTGCTTTTTTTATGTCCATAGTTCTGTTGGATGGCACATCAAATATGAGTGGGACATCCATGTTGGCGATTTGGGACAGCTTAGAGTTGTTGTAAGTCTTTTGAAGATTGAACATAATAAAATTCCAAAACTTGATTTTCATAGGCTGCTAGAAGTTTCGGGGCAAGTTTTGTTCATGTCCTCATGTTCAAACCTTCTAAAGCGCCTTTTAGGTGTCCCTGAGAAATCATCGATTTTTTCTCAATGCAATTCTTTTACCTTCTTCCCTGTACCATCTTGTTTGAAACAGAGATCCCAGTTTGACACTGCTGCAGAATCCAGGTCTTCACTTCCTGCTCCATATCCAGCCACTTTGGAGGTTTCCCTGGCATTGCCTTCTTCTGTCTTGGCATCTGAAGAAGCTTTTCTTCCTGTTGCCTCCATAGTCTGATGACACTGTCTGTGGGAGGAGCTCCAAAGGGTCTCTCGGCAGCTCTGTTGCCACACTTTTTAGCATCTTTAATAACTTTTAACTTAAAGCTTGCAGTATACAAAAACCGTTTCAACATTTTCTAAGGAATTTTCCAATAATTTCTCCTGCCTAAAGTATATGAAGCGAAATGTCACGCTATTCACCCTATGGTAAAAAAGTTGGTGTCACCTATCTTATCAAGTGGATAACAATCAGGCATCATCTGTGTTACTCTGTGGGTAACAGTACATTGCTCTTCATTTCATTTTGTTGAATCGTTGGCAGAAACTTCTTTCTGAAATAAGATTGGGTTCGTTGTAAGTTCAACAAAACCGATTATGGCATTTCTGGGTATTATTTTCCATACAGATATTGTTATTTTTTTTCTAGAGTTACACTTTTAATGCATAAACAAATAAAAGAATTAAAAACATTAATATAGATGTAGAATTAGTACTGTCCAGGTATAATGCTCATCCTAATTTTTCCCTCAAAAATTTGGGCAAAAAAGTGTGCATTATACACGGCAAAGTACAGTAACTTTCCAAGGTAATCAATTTAAAGAAAACAACACCTATTTGTTTCAGATATGAATGTTTGCATGTTTAAATAAGAAATAGATCACATTTACATATGTTCAGTCTGAGCTTTAAGGAGCAAAATAACGAAGAACAGCAATTTTGTTTTGATTGTTGTGCCTTTTCTTTAGCAGCAAGAGGCCTTTTCTAATTATGACTCATTGGAAGTAGAAAACTTGAAAGAAGACAGTTGAATTATTTTATTTAGTCTACTTATAGCTGCATTTAAATGGGGAGGATATATTTACCATATAATCTGATTTTGTTAGTGCAGACCTACTGTAAATTGCTTTAGAGCTTGGCACATTGTATTTTAAGTCTTTATGAAGTAAATGAGGTTTTAAAAGGTAATAAACCACAGTGGGTCCTGGCCAGGTAGCTCAGCTGGTGCAAGCGTTGTCCCGATACCGTAAGGTTGTGGGTTCAGTCCCGTTTCAGGGCACATACAGGAGTCAACTGATGGATGGATAAATGAGTAGAACAACAGATCGATGTTTTTCTTTCTCTCTTTCTCTTTTCCTTCTTGTGTCTATAGAAAATCAGTTTTAAAAAGAATATAATGTGCTGCAGTGAAAGTAGAGAATGAGTGATCAGTTACAAATTAAATTTATATCCACAAATATTCATGATCTTAGGTTCGTTTGCCGCTGTTGCCAGTGGATTTTCTAATGGGTGTTGTGGCAAAAGAACAGATTGTCAAGCAAAATCTAAAATGTAGAGATTTATTGGATGAAGCAAGAAATTACCATCTTCACTTGAGTAGCAGAGCAGTACCTGACTTTGAATACTCTGTTCGGACTACACCAAGGAAGCATACTGCTGGTAATTAAATTACTCATTTATCAACTCTGCTGGAAGGACCTTTGTTGTATTTGAGAGTTGGTTATGTATGCCCAGTCTTAACTGGATGATTAATATGATTGCCTTAGAATAATAATTGGCAAATAAAGTTATTTATGAATTCTTTTTTTAAATTTTAAATTAATTGCATCTTGGAAATAGTAGTAGGGATTGGGAAACACTGGATAGTTGATGACTTTTTAAGTTCAATTTATTGAGGTGACAATGGTTAATAGGATCAATATTAAAATGGCTACACACAAACTCACCAATTTATGTTTTTAGAAAATGCCTGTGGATAATGACAGCTGTCACAGTATAGTCTAACAAAATTATTTCAAATAAAGTTAAGACTGCTAAGTGCTACAACAGCCATCTTATGGGGGGGAAAAACTTTTTGGCCAACCCAATAGCATTCATCAATTTGTGTATGTTGAATGATCTCGTGCCTTTGGAATGAACACCTCTTGATCATGACGGCTTGTGCCTTTGGGATGAAAATAGTTCATGACAAACTGTTTTCTAAAGATATTGTATTTGTTTAGGATTTTTGCATCTGTATTCATCAAAGATATTGTAGTTTTCTTTTTTTATGGGTCCTTGCCAGGTTTTGGTGTCAGGATTTTTTGGCCTTACAAAACATGTCAGGAAGTATGGCCTCTTCTTCAGTTATTTGGGAGAGTTTAAGAAGGATAGGTATCAAATCTTATTTGAGTGTTTGGTAGAATTCATTAGTGAAGCTACCTGGTCCTGGACTTTTACTTTTTGGGAGATTTTTGATGGTTGTTTCAGTTTTCTTATTTTTGATTGGTCTATTTAGATTTTCCACTGCTTGATTCAGTCTAGGAAGGTCATATGTTTGTAGGAACTTACTCATTTCTTCTAGGTTGTTGAATTTGGTGGCAGATAGTCTTTCATAATATTCTAGTATGATCCTTTGTATATCTGTGATGTCTGTGGTAATTTCTTTCACTTCTGATTTTGTTTACATGAGTCTTTTCTCTTTTATCTTTAGTGAGTCTAGCCAGGGATTTGTCAATTTTATTAATCTTTTCAAAGAGCCAGCTCTCTGTTGTATTAATTCTTTCTATAGTCTTTTTGTTCTCTATTTTATTCAATTCTGTTATACTTTTTATTTCCTTCTGCTAACTCTTGATTGCTTCTGTTCTTCTTTTTGTACATCTTTAAGATGTACTGTGAGGTTGTTTTCTTGTGATCTCTCTTGTTTCTTGAACTAGACCTGTACTGTTATAAATTACCCTCTTTTACTGCTTTCACTGCATCCCAGAAGTTTTGCTGTATTGTATTGTCATTCTCATTTGTCTCTCTGTATATTTTCATCTCACCTTTTATTTCTTCTTTAAGTCATTTATTAATAATATGTTATTTAATATTCACATATTTGTGGATTTCTTTACTCCTTTCTGCAGTTGATTTCTAACTTCAAAGCATTGTGGTCAGAGAATATGCTTGGTATAATTTCAGTCTTCTTGAATTTTGTTGAGGCTAGTTGAGGTTAGTTTTATGACCCAACATTTCGTCTGTCCTTGTGAATGTTCCATGTGCACTGGAGAAGAATGTATAATCTAATGTTCTGATGAAAGGCTCTGTAAATGTCAGTTAGGTCTGTAAACGTCAATTATGTCTATTCATTCAAATTCTTATTTAAGGCCAAAATTTTTATTGATTTTTGTTTGGATGACCTATTAAGAGCTGTCAGTGGAGTACTAAGGTCCCCAATTATGATCGTGTTTTTGTCAGTTTCTCCCTTTTGTTCTATTAGTTATTTTACACATTTTCATGCTCCCTGATTGAGTGCATCTATATTAAGAAGTTTATGTCTTTTCAATGTAGTGTCCTCTCTATCATTATAAAATGTCCATTTTTGTCTCTTGTTCCTTTGTTATCTTAAATCTATTTTGTCAAATATAAGTATGGCTACACATGCTTTTCTGTGGATATTTGTCTGAAGAATCATTTCTTACCACTTCAGTTAGAGTCTAACTTTGTCTTTGCAGCTCACACGTGTGTCCTGAGGCAGCATATGGTTGGGTTTTGTTTTTTGGTTCAGTCTGCTAGTCTGTGCCTCTTTATTGGTGCATTCAGTCCATTTACATTAATGGTAATTATTTATATATGAGGATTTCCTATAGCCATTTTATCTTTGTTTTTTGGTAGCTCAGTGTCTCCATTGGTTCTTTTCCTTTGTGTTTCTGTCTGTTGTTTTTGTTGGTGGTATTTCATACTTCTTTCCTTTGTTTCCTCTTTTTATCAATAGCTATGTGTCTCAGTTTTGGGTTTTTCTGTGAGATTACCATTAGGTTTATGAAAAAGAAAGTTTCATGTATAGAGTAGTCCTTTTTCTTTTGAATACATCTGATTCCCATCCTTGTTTGCAAACTCAGACCCTTCTTTACCTACTCTTCTTTTATGTTTTTGTTGTCACAAACAATCTGTTTATGCTGTAAGTTTGTCAGTGATCTTACTCATTGTTTCATGATCTTTTATTCTTTGTCTCAGGTAGAATAACCCCCTTGAGTATTTCCTGCAGTGGAGATCTTCTGGAGATAAATTCCTTCACCGTCTGTATTTCTGGAAAATTCTTTATTTCTCCTTCATATCTAAAGAATAACTTGGCTGGATATATTAGTCTTTGCTGGTAATTTCTCTCTTGCAGTAGTTTGAGCATTTGGTTCCACTCTCTTACAACTTGTAGAGTTTACTGAGAATTCTCATGATAACCAAATTGGCTTTCCTTTATAGGTTACTTTATTCTTTTTCCTGGGTGTTTTGAGAATTCTTTCTTTGTAATTACTTATTGACAGTTTTAAAAACAATGGGCCTTGGAGAAGGCCTCTCTGGATTAAGGTAACAAGGTATTCTGTTTCCTGCTTAAATTTGATAAGGTAGCTCTTCCCATAGTTCTGGGAAATTCTTATCAACTATTTGAACAGGCTCTCTGTTCCCTTCTCTCTTCTTCTTCTTCTTCTTCTCCCCCTCCCCCTCCCCTCCCCCTCCCCTCCCCCTCCTCCTCCCCCTCCTCCTCTGGTGCTTCTGTTATTCTTATATTTCTGTTTCTGACGGAGTCATACTTCTCCGAGTTCTTTCATTTTTTATGCCCAAGTCTCTCTCTTTCCCTCTGCATCATTTCTAGGTTTCTATTTTTGGTATCACTCATTCTTTCTTTCATCTGGTCAGCTCTATTTCCTCTCTAATTATTCTTGATCTCTTTTATTGAGTTCCCCCTCTCCAGAATTTTTTTTTGGTTATTTTTTAAAGTTTCAGTCTCTTTGGTAAAGTTCTTATTTTGTTTGTGTTCTGAGCATGTTAGATCGCCTGTCTGTATTTCCTTGCAGCTCATTGAGTATTTTCAGAACTGCAGTCTTGAATTCTCTGTTACTTATATGACCTATTTCCACATGCTTGAGTTTGATTTCTGTAGGTTTTTTTCATTTTATTTCTGTGCTGCCTCACTACCTTGGTTATTCGTGCATGGTATTTGATGGATTCCTCTTCTGTCTAGGCATCTATGTATATGAGTGGCACTTCTCAGTTACTAGGATGGTGTCTTTCTATTATTTTCCAGTAGGTGGCACCAAATCACAAGTTTCTAGCTCAGTAAAATTTCAGCACTGACCCCAGCCAGCTCTCTCTGGCTGCTGTTACTGTAGCCATGATACAGGGATTGGGTTGGTTGGGGGAATCCCGCCACCTTCTTTGTTTTGCCCTCCCAGTAATGGCGACCTTGGACCTCTATTGGATGCCCCCTGTACTTTGACCTGGGACCAGTCACAGAGAGTACATCATTTCCTTAGAGAAAATAGTCATTGTGTAAAATACCAGTTCTCAGGTTTGCAGATAATGGTGCTCCACAACCCTACACCAAGGACAAAGGGAGAAGAGCTCTGGGCTGGCCTCTGTGACTTTATGTCCAGTTCCCCAGTGCTGGGTCCTTGCCTATTATCTCTGGGTTCAGCTGTGCCTGATACTGTTCACTCTTTCAAAGATGCCCGCCAAATCTCTTTGCTCCTCTTGGTTGAAGGGATTGCCTTTCACAGCCAGCTTCCTCCTTTCTCCGGGCTGAGCCCCACCTTAAGCTTCTGGCCGCAGGGCTGCGTCTGTGGCTCAGCCCTTCTCCCTGCTTATCTCTTGTTTGTTCCCAGTTGTCCACTTTTAGATGCTTCAATGTGTGGATCTCTCAGGCAGGCCTGTATTTTTAGCAGGGAATCTTTTGGTGAGTTATAGCTGTTCAAATTGTTGAAATTTTCAGGGGAGAGGCCAAGGGGATTTCTCACACTGCCATTCCTCTGACATCATCTGTGAGTTCTTACTGTACATTTTTCAGGTAGTTTTACCAATATGCCAGTTTTTTAAAAAGCCATTACATAATACGCTGGGGAGATGACATAGAATTGTACAGCTGAAACTTAACATAATTTTATTAACCAATGTCACCCCAATAAATTCAATAAAAAAGAAAAAAATAAGTAAAAATAAAAATTAAAAAAGCCATTACAAATCTTATACACTCTGAAGAGCCTGCTAAAATATCTCTTATTTGAATTCTTTCTAATTCTTCAGGCCGAATTAGTTCCCATCATTTGTACTTTTACAACACTTTTGCATTTTTTTTTATTTTACAATATTGCATTGAAATTCATTTATGTAGTATATTTTGAGCTCTACAAAGACAGGTAAGTACCTTATTTAGTTTTGTATCTAAAGTGCTAAGCATGGAGCTTGACACATAGTACATTCTTAAATAACTTGTTTTCTTGCATCTTATCAAATCAAAAGGAAGGTACTAAATGTAACATTGTCTAACAGACCATATTAAACTCTTAGAATCTAACACTCTTATTTTTGAAGAGGTATGCAGTTTCACCTTTATTTGCACAATTTTCAAATTTTATCTTTTCCCAAGTTCATGTTCACTTAATGTTACTCTTTTTTTTTAATTTTTATTTTTTTAATTGATTATG